TAAACTAGAAATAAGTTTCAAAGGGTATTATCAATGCTCTATTCGTAATCGTTGTACATACTTTTGATGTAGCCTTAGCATATTAAATCTTTTATTTTGTGATTCGAGAATGTAGACATCGTAAAGCGAATTTCAATTGTACATACCATGTATCATGACGAAATGCGCTCAAAATATCTTCAAACAATTTTATAAATAATTGAAATAATATTTTCGATTTAGTTACTCTGTGAGTACATTTTATAATGTATTGGAATAAGCATTTAATTCGATTTAAGAATATACAGTTTCGAAATTGTATATCTATGATATTGAAGACACTTCGTATATTTTTAATTTTGATATTTTCGTTCATGTCTCACACCGCTTTATCACTTGTAACAGTATAGAAATTAAGACTGGCTGTTTTTTATTTCGTACACTATTGGTGTTGAAAAGAGCTGTTTTCAATTATTGTTTAAGAGTTGATTCAAATTATTCCATATTTAAGCATCAATTTTTATATCTAAAAATTAGTTATTTTAAACGATTTTATTTGGCCTTCTGCAGTAATATATATTTATAATTAGAGAAAGAGAGATTAGATAATAGAATCACAATCGAAAAGTGAATAAAATCTATTTCTTCTGGCAATCTGTTCTACAAAATCTATAAAATTTGCTTCGTGCTTTAATAATACGAAGTAAGTGTCAACACTTGTCGGTGCTGTCGCACTGCATGTCCGTTTTACGAAAAAGAAATGAGATAATATTTAGAGAAATTTTATATAAGAGAAAGAAAAAATCGTCCATCAAAAACTAATTTTTCTCCTTTTATACAAAGTCTTAAAAAGGTGTATACTAATAGCAAAATTTTACATGACTTGTAAAATTTTTCTTTATGAAACTTACATATGGATAATTACTTACTATAGATAATTTAGACTTTATTTTTAAAATTATTTACAACGAAATGAAGGCAAGCTCAAAAAGTGTTATTGAGAAGGAAAATAAATCCATATAAATATGGATATTCTAAAACATCAAAATAAATTTTAATTGCTATTTGTATACACTTTTTATTTATATCTTATATAGAAAAAGAATCACGGTATAATATGTAGAACAGGTATTGTATTCTAAACACTTTCAGATGACTGGTGAGACTTTAACTCTGTTATCGAGAGATTGAAAAGTATATAAAAGCCATCTTATTTTCTGAAATCATTATAAATGAAATTGTGTGTATCACTAGGCCAGATCCCGTCAGATCGTAAGAAAAGTAATAAAGTATAATAAGTAACGGAGCTTATGTATTAAATCGTCGAACACATTTCACGAAGAAGGTTATTTACTTCGAACTTTTGTAATCACGATAAGAAGATAAGCGGAGGAGAGGTCAAACGAATTAATTAAATTATTATAATACGCCGTAAATAAATTATTAAACTCATACAGTTTGTAGTAGCTGAGATCATTGATTTACTAAGAAAGTAGAAGAAATAAAGAATTTAAAAAATAACTTTGTGCTCTTGTTATTTTTGCAACCTATCTAAATAAACATTAGAATATTAAGTAAAATGCAAACCAATGATGAAGAAAACCGAAAGGTTCGCGAGTTGATTTCT